AAAAATGTCAAATTTTATTTTTGTCACAAATAAATTGTATTTTATGACAACATTTACTTTTGTCACTAAATAACACTTTTTATGACGATACTTTGTGTGACGAAGAATAATTTGTCTCAATTTGGTATTCAATAATGCCAATTTTTATTTTCGTTGTTGAAAAATTTTCTATTTGTGTTGTCACTAAATTACATATTTTACGACAACTATTTTTTATAATGAGTGATATTTTGTCACAATTTCATATTTGTTAATGACAATATTTATTTTCGTCACTAAAAATTACCTTATTAATGATACTCTTACTTTTTATCACAAATGTACATATACTATGACGAATTCTTCACAATTTAACAATTAAAATTGACAATTTCACATAAAATATACCCTATTTTTTACTTTGTAAGTTTTCGTCACAAAATTGCACTATACGATAAATTTTTTCATAATTTGATATTTAATAATGATAAGTTCTATTATTCATTGTATTTTGTCTTATTTATGGTACAATTAACTTTCATCTCAAAGTTACATATTTTATAACTATTTTATCATAATTTAATAATATAAAGAATAAATGTTATTTTATTACCGAAATGTACCTTATTTTATGAAGAATAAAAATGAACTTATAAAATGTCATTTTGTATTTTCAATATTGATTGTAATTTCATTAGTTTATACATTTAATATTGGTATAAATATATCTATATTTTACAGGCTCTAATTTTATTAATTATATATATATATATATTTATTTATACAATGATCAGGCATATTCGAATGATTAGATTTAAGTAAGGAGAAATTTTTTATAAATTATATATATAATTTTATCATATTTATTAATTTAAATATATTTATTTATTTATATATTTAAATAAAATAATTTTTTAAAAATAAAAATAATAATTTATTATTTTTTCGGGTGAAATTCGTCACTACATGTTAGTTTTTAAATGAAAAATATTTAAATTTGTCATATAATAATATATTTAAGTGACGAAAATTCGATTGTAATAATGACAAGTTCGTCACTATAGGTTAATATTTAGATGACAAAATATCAGTTTGTCATTTAAATTCGATCTTTTAGTGATAATTTAAGAATTTCAATGACGAATTTTTTATATTTAAAGTGATGAGATAGACGTCACTAAAACTAGTTTTGTAATGACAAATCATAATATGTCACATAGACATTTTGTGACGCGGATACAGTGACGAACGCTGCGACGAAAAGTTTTCGTCACTATATACTTTTAGTGACGAAAAATAGATTTTTTATGATGAATATTTCCGTCATAAAATATCAAATTTCTTGTAGTCAAACGGAGTGGCCGCCTACAAGATTCACTTTAGTGACTATAACACTGCATACTAGAATTAGACGAAATGTACATTAATCTGTTCGAGCATGCACATTAGCTTAACAATGTATTCTGGACAATGACACCGCGTGACAAAAATTAAAAATGCGCATAAAAAATATCTTACCAATAGACTGCACAATAATGCTAGGCGAAATGCACATTATTGGTTGTGTGAATGTCATTATTGATTTCGATATTTTATTACGTCTTTTCAACCAAACATAATATAATATATTAAATACTAATACACAAATACTAAATATATTTTTATTATATAAATAATAAATCATTTCAATTATTTAGGGTATTTCGATTAACGATCGAATAAACCGATTATTTCAGTTCGGGTTTAGTTTGGTTTGGAACAAATCCTTAAAAATATCTGCTCTGTAAGTGCATAACATTGTTATACGAATTTCAAATTAATGATTATAAGATTGCACGATCGAAACTGATCAAACTAAAATTTTCGGTTCGAAGTTCTACATTATGGTTCGATTATCTGTTTTTACTATTAAAATCTCGGTTATTTCAGTTCGACGTCGACTTTATTTTTTAAAATAACCGAACCAACCAAACTATATGAAAATTATTATTATTATTTTTGTGTTTTATATATTGCGATTGCTCAATAGTGTTAGAGGACTTGCACCTTAATGACTATCAAATTGCACAATAGTGACCGAAACCGACCGAACTAAAATTTTCAGTTCGAAATTTTATATTTTGGTTAGATTATATGTTTTTTACTTTTACCATCTTGGTTATAATGTGCATATATCACACAATATTATTAACATTCTTTATATTTACTGTGCATTTTAATATTTTATTTTTCTAAATTATAAATTTGAACCATTAATTAAATTAAAATTTATTAAAATTTTGACTAATTAAGTCCCTTGGACCTACCTCAAGTGAGGCCCAACTCTTGAAACAGATTCTGACCGACCTTCATCACATTTTCCTTCACCGCAATTCCCGCAGCCTGCCCCCTCCTCGCCGATCGGTTATACGCCGTCGGAGGAAAACCTTGATACGGACGTGGCTCTGAGAAATTGAAACTCAAAATCGCGGTGGATGGAGAGGGTCCGAAAATGCGGCGGTGTTCTCGAAGACAACAACATTCCCGATTTTATGACGGAGAGTCGTGCATGTTCAGGAAGCTGGGGCTGCCGACGATGGTTTTGTTGGAGTAGATGGTGGGGCCTGTGGTGACTGGTGGCGACAGTGAGCTATGGCAAAGGTTGGGCTGGTGTTAGCGGCAACAGAACCGGCGGGGCTGTGGCGGGGGCAAGGTAGGTGATGGTGACTGTGTGTGTGTGTGTGTGAGAGAGAGAGAGAGAGAGAGAGAGAGAGAGATGGGGTAGGGTCCACTTGATGAGTTAGATTTGTTGTAATGATTAATATATCCTTAAATGAGTGGTCAAATGTACATATTTGACCACGATATATTCACTTATTTACCATATTGTCATTACATGTTTGATTATCATTACTAAAATTTTACTTGATGATGATTGTTGTCTTGATGGATCTAATGGTACAAATTTATTTTTATTTCTTTAACTATCTACAATTCTCATATGATCGTACTTCTATAGTGTTGGTACAATGTTTGACTGCAATTACTAAAAACTTAATAATTTTGATAGTGTTTTGGACTACTATTCTTAAGAAAAGATTATTCATATATTAATATTATGGGCATATATAATATGTATATCATTACTGCTTTATTAATATTGTTCTTTAGTAAGTTTAAATGGTATGAATTCTACTAATTATAACTTTTGATTAATAGATATATGTATTTTTATCAATACTATATTTCTATTAGTTTTATTCTATGTATATTTATTTGGTGTGTAATTGAAATAATTAACGTATTTTTTTATTTGTTAAATTTGTGAGTTTGTATAAATACATGATATGTATGATTTTCTTAAAAAGTCGGTTGTTTCATACTGTACTTTCTTTTTTGGGCAATTAATATGTTTTCTTATCGGGTAAATTTGTTTCCTATAATTAATTGAATATTTAGTAGTTTATTTTCTTATTTGATAAATTATTTAGATATAATTTAATTATGACTTCAAATTCACAATGTAGCCATGTAAATAATTATTCATACATAAGGCTGCTGTTAGGCAGGCCTAATAGTTATGCAGATATGCTCTTTTAACAAATATGCATACTTTTATTTTCAAATATCATACTATAAGACAACTTAAACAAAAGTGTAACATTCAAGGTCTGTTTGGTTGGCCAGATTGGGAAGAATATCTGGCCTATTTTTATTATTTCATGCATATAAAGATGTTTGGTTCAGACAATGTAAGCTCATTAAAATTGAATGGCTTAATTATTAAAAATTTTTAGTATTAGGTATCTCACTTTATGGGTGGGATGTGTAAGCTCAATGTAAGCTCTTTTCCTAATTCCTTCTTCTCCTCCTTCTCCTCCTTCTTCTCCTACTTCTCCTACTTCTCCTCCTGCTCCTCCTCCTTCTCCTTCTTCTCCTTCTTCTTCTCCTTCTTCTCCTTCTTCTCCTTCTTCGTCGATTTTCTCGGTCTGTCGATCTCGAAGGCGGCGGCTAACCGATTTTCTTTGTGTTTTTACATTGTGGGTTCTGTTTGAAGGACAAGTTTATGTGGCTAATTGTCTGGCGACATTATTTGGTTTATGATTTTGATCATAAAGTTTGCTGCTTTATGTATCATAATTTGGAAGTTTTGTTGTTCGCCTTTGTATTTAGTTAGAGGTGGTTGATTTTGTTGTGCATTTTCATCTCTGTGTTTTTTTACTTTGTGAGTTCTAGTTAAAAGATGACTTTACTGGCTAATTGGCCGGCCTGCAACGTGTTCGGATCAACCATTTTCGTTTTTCGTGCTCAGAGTTTTTCAATCTGTTGGATTAATTTTGAAAATTTAATTTTGAATGAAGGGTACAAAAATAATTTCAACGTAAAGGATATAATTTCCAACTCTAAACCAAACAAGTTAATGAGCTAACAAAATAAATGGATAACCAAACAATAAAAAAGATTGTATCAGTCTCAATTTATTATTACAACCAAATTGACCTTTCACAATATAACTGTACATTTTTTTTCGAAATGTATATCGAGTCGATCTAACCATTACATTGTTTCACCCCAGAACTTCTGTTATTTACATAGTAGTGGTTAACATTAACTTAGATATTTATGAGAGACAATTATTTATTGTTTGATAAATTAGTCAATTATTTTAAAATTTCTATCCTTACAGAAAAATAAATTCAATGTAACTAATAGAATAGTCAAAATTTTATATTCACACTTATTATTACATAGCTAGACTTTTAAACTTATGATGAAAGTACACCAAAATATAATTATTTTATAGAATCAAGTTCTAGCCAATTACAATTTAAAAAAAAAAAATTTCACCGTTGACACTTATTTTAAATTGAATTGAATGCGGGAAATTCCAAAATAATTATTTTAAAATGGATAGAATACAATTTATAGACAAAATATGGTTATTGTTATTAATTTATTATCTCGTGTATAGTACTTATGTACACGTATAAACGATCTTATTACAGGCTTAAGCCGAATATTAAGCACAGCTCCTCATTTCATTAATATTTCTTTGGGTTGTCGGTTAGGAGAAAAGAACTAGAAAAGAAATCCCCCTTTTGTGCTGGGACGGAGGGGATGACGGAATATTTCTGATATTCCGGAAAGTTTCGGAAAACCGGGTTCTTAAAATCTTGATTTTCTGGCGAAAATCGGAGATCGGATAGGCATTTAAATGTTTTCGGGCAGGGCATCTTGGCATTGCTGATAGAAAAGTGCGGATTTGATATTTTTCTTGTTTCTCTCTGTTGTGGAAATTGACTTTTCCTTTGTTGCGTTGAGATTCGACATAGTATTATGTAGGCTTTTTCTTGATTTATGCCCTTATCAAGGTATATAAATAGCTGTTCTTTCCCTCTAAATAGATTCATGATCAAGTCGGAAATGCAAACCGGTCAATGATGGTCAATTCTTTTCCACACAATAGAAAGTCTTTACCATTGGTCTACCCATCAGAATTCATGAAATCCTGACATTTTCCAAACATCGTATAGTTTTAGGATATACTTACAGAGTTTGATTATGGTTAGGTGGGAAAATATGTACAAGAGAGAGTGGATTGGTTATTGCTTGAATTAAATTAGGATTCGTGCTGGTGTCGTATTATATTGAGTATGAAATTTTTGAGTCTTGTTGGTAATTCTTTCGGGTGTTCTGCTTCTGGTGAACGTTTGGTATCGGCTGCTAGAGATGGTGATCTTCAAGAAGCCAAGGCCCTATTAGAATATAATCCTCGTCTCGCGAGGTATTCTACTTTTGGCGTTCGTAATTCGCCTTTACATTATTCTGCGGCTCAGGGCCATCATGAGGTAACATATGTTCTGTATCTTTGAAGTTATAGCTTCGTAATGCGTAAAGTAGTGTGTAACTATGTAATATTAATTTTTGGTTTATGTTTTTCTTCATAGATTGTTGCTCTTTTGCTCGAGTCTGGAGTTGATGTTAACCTCAGGAACTATCGTGGGCAGGTGGATTGTTTCCCTTGTAATTTTCAAAAGTTTCTTTCCGATATTCAATTTATTTGGACGGTCAATAGAAAATTCTTGTGAGAAAAATATTAGCTTTTGTGGGTTCATTTATTGGGTTTTGCTATTGATTTTGCATAGTTTAGTCGGAATCTAAAACTACTGGGAAGTGTGGTGCTTTAAGTTTTCCGGTTATATTGTGGCTCGACTTTGAAAAATAAATAAGCATTTTTACTACTTAATCCTGAAACGCTTTCGTGTAGCTCATTCTTATTTTAGCTTCTTTTTGCAGTTCAACTTTTAGGTCTGAATGGTAAGTCACTTTTTATCAAAGCATAAGTTTTTGCCAACGAGTCCTACAATTTTTATTGGTGTAAATGGTATAATCTAACAGATTATAAAATTTATTGCTTGATGATGATGGGTTTTAGTTGTAAGTACAATAATGTATCTTCAGGATGAATGTGTGCATTTTAATTTATATCTGTTTTGACAGACTGCCTTGATGCAAGCATGCCAATATGGGCACTGGGAGGTGGTTCAGATTCTGATCCTCTTCAATGCCAATGTACGACTATTTATGCTGTCGCATTGTTTAAGATAATTTCGAATTTTGCATATAATTTGATTTTCTGTTTGCATAAAAGGACATGATTTCACATTTTGTATTCTTACGTAGATTCACAGAGCTGATTATCTTAATGGCGGGACTGCACTGCACTTGGCTGCTCTAAATGGCCATTTTCGTTGCATTCGTCTACTTCTTGCAGATCACATTCCCAGTAATCCTAAGTTTTACAGTCACTTGAGGAAAAAATCACGAAATAACAAGTCTCTTTTGGAGTTTGATGAAGGGTACTTGTCTGGATTATCTGTGAGATAGTTACAAAACTTGCCCTGTGGTTCAGCCTAATTGTAAAATGAAGAAAAAAACCAGTTATCTTTCAAACTACAAGTGTCTCCTTGACCATAATTTTTCTTTTCAAATTTCTGTAAATTGTATACTCAATGGAAGGATATATTTGTGTGAACTCTAAAGGGGCATTTGTAACACCTTCAGGGGGTTATGTGTAGTTTTAAAAGATAATATTTTTTTATATAAATTAAGGTACAATCTAGGGGTCAGTGTTTCTAGTTATCCCAGTCTTCTGTTAGTATATGTGACTGAATTTCTTGGTGAGCAATCTAATTTTCCATTTTTCCACCTTTTTTTTCAACAGTGCACTCTATGCAATAATCAATAGACCTGCCGATGGTGGAGTCACTGCCCTTCACATGGCTGCATTAAATGGACACGTTGAGACTGTTCACCTCCTCCTTGATCTGGGGGCCTCTGTATCTTACTCAACTGTGCAAGATGGGGCTACTATTGATTTAATAGGTCAGATAATCGTTTGTATTCTTTTCATGCATTCATAAATCATCCACAGAAACTGTTCTTTAGGCCTATGCTTAATTGTTTATTCAAGTATTATTTGTCACAGTGTAATACTTTAGTTTGACTAAACTCGATGGTTGTAAAAGTATGTAGCCATTTAATATGTAGACTTTTATGGTTAAAAGGTGTTCTGATCAATGAAACTATTTTATGCTTGTAAACCTTACAAAGTTAGTTTTTTTTTTTTTAATTAATTAATTATACTTTGTTTTGTCACATTTTTGCTCTGAAGGTGCTGGTAGCACTCCACTCCATTATGCTGCATGTGGTGGTAATGCACAGTGCTGCCAGGTTGGTATATCTGGTGACTGAAAGATTTATTTTTCCCGATATTAATTTGCTAAAACATGTTTTTTTCTTGGATTACTTTCAGCTTTTGATAGCAAGGGGTGCCAGCCTTACAACAGAAAATGCGAATGGGTATGCTCGTAATTCATGAAAGCTTTTATTATTATCTTATTTATTTTTGATTCTTCAGTTTCTTGATCTTGTGTAATGTGTTGCTATTTCAGTTAATACTTAATTAGTGAATCTTTTGTTAATTTCCACTAACCTCAAAACTCACTAGCTTTTATTTACATCTTACAAGATGGACACCGTTGATGGTTGCTCGTTCATGGCATAGAGATTGTCTCGAGCACATCCTTACTCCAGGATCGTGCGGCGGCGAAAAAAGGCTTAGTCCTTCCCCATATTTATGCCTTCCTCTTATGAGCATTGTGGAGATTGCCAGGTCAGCAGAATCACTCTATTTGTATCAATTTCAGTTAATAAATCGTTTTTCTAAGTTGCTAGAAATGGTGAAGAGTGTATATAGAAACATAAAGTAAAAATATTTTGTCGATATGGGATTTGTTTATTCATTTGCCTTTTTTTTTTCACTTTTTATGTTATTAAACCAATAATTTTTTTGAAAAATGAAGAGAATGTGGATGGAGAAGCAGCGATTTAGCGTCGACATGCTTAGATCCATGCGTGGTTTGCTTGGAAAAGAAGTGCACAGTTGCTGCAGAAGGTATTTATTTTTGGCAAAATTGCAAATTTAGTCCTGTTGGTTTGATCCAATGGCGTTTTTAGTCCTAAGAATTGAACATTTTGCTATTTGGTCCTATAATTTTATAATTCAACGCAATTTCTGTGGGACTGAAATTGCAACAAAATTTAATAATACAGGACTTAAATTGCTAATAAAAAATCTTTGGGATGAATTTTTGGTTAGCAATTTAAGTCATGCAATTTCAAATTTTGTTGCAATTTCAGTCCAAAAGGATTGAAATTGCAGCAAAATACTAAATTACAGGATCAAAAGACAAAAAAGTTGAAATCTTGGGACTAAAAATGCTATATGGCGTTAAGCCAGTAGGACTAAAAATGCAATTTTGCCTTTATTTTTTTTACCATAGTAATTATCTCACTGATTCAACAGTAACAGTGTTTATTTACTATATATTTATATCGTAACTCATACAATTCAGGCTGTCTTCACGAGTTGTGCACCCACTGCGCATTGTACCTTTGTTCCACAAACAGCACATCCACAGTGGGCCCCAGCCCGCCGGGCTCCATTGCGTGCCCTTTGTGCCGCCATGGAATAGTCTCTTTCTTCAAGCTCCTTGAGACCCGGCCAGTAGTCCACGAGATGGCGAGAAGCGTCAGATCACTGCCCTTGTGCACGTGCTCGGCTGAGGAAACTCCCGACTTCAACTGTGTACCATTTGGTTCTTTGCATAGCCCGAGTCTTTGCTTGGGTTTACGTGAGACGAGTCCGCCATTGCTCGTCAAGTGTTCAAGATTGAGCTTCCGGAGGTCCGGCTCACAGAATGAGGGCCGGAGATGGTTGTGTTCGTTTACTCAGTCGGTACCGACTGGAAGCAGCTGATGAACAACTTGATGGCCTTTTTTTGTTTTGGATACTATACCCCAATATTAGTTTTGTTTCTTCACACAGGTTGAATGTATTTGATTGGTTGATAATGTAAATATGTATGGTGTATGAAAATGATATATGTGGGGAGAGTTCTTTCTATCCAAGTGAATTTCCTTTTGGCTTATTTCCAGCCTTTTGTATTGTACCTACTAATGGCACTGCTGATAACCAGGTGTGTCCCATTGCCTTGTCATTTTGGTGTCAGATCAAGATATGCATGGATTTGTATTTAAGATGAGGCTTATAAATGGGTTGCAGTGATGATGGTTGTCAGTGAAAGAAATAGGGATTGCATTATAACTATAAGATCTTTAATATTCTAACGGTAAAAAAAAGATATAATATTATACGCTGATAAAAGATATACTTGACAGCGGTGGATCTAGAAATTTTGACTCGAATTTTAACGAGTCAGGACAAAAATAGTTGAAATTTTTTTAAACATATTGCACAAAGTACTTATATTAAGAATTAAATAAATCATTTGAACAATCGAGAGTTGAGGATTTTCCTAATTAATTGTCCTTTGACTTGATGCTAAAAAATAAAATTGAGAATGAGGTTTGGTTATTTTATTTTGCTATTTTTATTATTATTAAAAAATATATCAAAAATATTTTACATTTTTTTTGTAATAATTTATAAACAAGTCATTTTAAAATATAATTTAGTAATTTAAGAAAGACCTAAATGTCATCATTTTTGTTCCTGTTATTTTATAAAGAGTTCCTTATGGATTATCTTCTTATATATAAATATAGAGTGTTTCACGGTCAACTTCCACTAGGGGTGTTCACGGTCCGGTTTTAACCGTAAAAAACCGTCAACCCGGACCGCGGATCGGTCAAATGGTCAGTTAAAAAACCTTAAAAAATCCGGTGGTTAATTTTTCTAAAAATCCGGAATAATCGGTCCGGTTAACGGATTACCTTCGGCAAACCGCCGGTTTAACCGGACCGGACCGGTAAATATTAAAAAACTATAACAAATATATATATACATTAATTCATTCACTATGGCCGACAAATAAATTAAATATGAATGTTTTGCTCTTATTATTTCAGGTGTATAAACTGACTGAAAAATGAATGCTTGCTTGGGTTCAGTTTGCATAATTTAATCTTCATCATTTTTGTATTTTTATGTTTTTGGGATGAAATGTGTATTTTTATGCTTATGGGACGAATTGTGTGTTTTTTTATTTCATTATTGTTATTTTTCTTAATTTTTAGGCCCAAATAATCTCTTTTGGACCCAAAATTGAAAAATAAAAACTAAGCCCAAAATGAAAAAAATAAAAATTAAAGGCCCAAAACAAGGATTTTGGATTTAACCGGTTAACCGCCAAACCGGACCGTCCAATGCGGTCCGGATTGTGGTCGGTTAAAAAATAAAACCGGTTCGGTTATAGACAAAAAAAAAATTAACCGTTAAGTCCGGTTTGGTCATGGTTTGGGCTAAAACCGGACCAATCCGGACCGTGAACACCCCTAACTTCCACCACTTTGTAATTCTATATGTTAATTTCATAGTATTCGAGATAATCTATATAAATATTGATCTGTATCCAGAATATTCAATTTTAAACACTTGACTAACTTAAATTGTAAATATATTTTAAAAGTTAATAACACTCATGTATGTTATCATTTTTTATATATGATAAATTAAATTAGTCAAAATATTTTGACAATCTATAATTTGACATTCATATTGTATATAAATTAAAATAATTATATCTATCTGATCTCTATCAATAATAGCTTAATATTATCAATTATAATTGAAAAACAATTAATTTATCTATCAAGCTTATTATATGTTCTAAGTAAAAAAAATATTGTAACATAATACCGTCGAATCTGACAAATAATGTATATCATTTTAAATTAACATAATAATGTTATTTGGTAAGAATTATTTAAAATTTTAAAATAAAAACTTGTATTTATATCTTTATAAATATTAAATATAAATTTTTAATTAACACATTTACTAGACCATATGTAGATCCGCCATTGATACTAGACATTCTCTTTCTCATACATGTTCCCGTAGGCCCCACCTTTCTCTCGCTGTCACTCACACGCGTGCAAACACCCACACAATGTCTCTCTCTCTCTCTCTCTATCTCTCTCTCTCTCTCTCTCTCTCTCTCTCTCTCACACACACATACAACACACACACACATCCATCCCAACTCTGCGGCCTCCCCTCATCGGATTGCCGTCTCCTTGCTCTTGCATCCCTTCCAAACCCTAAATCATAGTTCAGGGTCTCGTCTCTCATGTCCTCCGTCCAGTGGCCGGGGTTAACGATGTTGTGGTACACGATCGAGGGAAATCGGTAGAACCAGAAGGCCTTGCGCTGGGTGAACCTCGGTTAGACTCCGATCGGAAGGTTGCATTTTGGGACAAATGTTTTTGTCTCCCCAGTCCTAATCAAGATTGCGCGACCGTTCAATTTCTCTATTAGTGTGAGGTTTTCAGCTCAGTTTAGCATTGCGAGCGCTTATGATCGAATTAAGAAAAATCTGATGAATTCGAAGCAGACTAGTCGAGTTTGAGTAGCTAGAGCCCTTGGGTAGTCCTCTTATTCCGGCTAGTGAACCGGTTGTAATTATGTGTTTAGTGAATGAATTCTATCGTTTCGAAAAAAAAAAAAATAAAAAAAAATGACAATATAACATGTGGATATGCACTTAAAAAAACGTCGCGTTTTACAAAATTATAAAATTACCACCTCTTGCACATTTAAAAGTCCATGAAAAATGCAACGTGCGATGCAGCTGCGGGTGGTGGCAGCGAGGCGGGCTTATGCGCGACGAAGAAGGGCCAACATATAAGGTTTTGTGATTTATGCTCTGAATATATGGTTGAGAAAAGAAGTTTTTGTGTGCTTTTATGCTGAGAGGAAAACGTTTTATGAGGGATGGGAAAGAGATCTATTACTTAAGGAAATTAAGGCAATCAAATGAGACTTTAACTTACCATACTTAGGAGATGAAAATGGCATGATTTAGGGGATTTTAGTGACCGGTTACAAGACTCTTGGGCTGAGGAAAAGTTGGTCAAAATCATTCCTTAATGGCCTTGAGAAATTTGAATTTTTTACTAAGTAAAATGCTCCAAAATCTCATCACCATGGCCTGTTCCATAAGAGGCAAAACAGATCGGTTTTTCTCGGTTAAAAGGGCCGAATTGATCAAGGAAAAATGCTGAAAATAATTTCCAAGGGTCGGGCTTAAAGCCAAAAAAAAAAATGGGTCGAAAACGGTTCCAAGTAAAACTACGCGATTAAACAGAAAAATCCCGAACGAGTCGACGAACGATAATAAAATAAAATCGAGCTAGCACATAAATAAGAATAAATTAAACTACAAGCAATTTAATCAAGTAAGGCATAGTAAAATAAATAAAATACGAGAATTAATATCAATCGAAAAGGGGCACTACATTATACTAAAATTAAATATATAAATGATGCATATTTAGTTCATTCATGATGCTGATGCTTATTTAGTTCATACAAAATACATATTTAGACCATCAAAAGTGGATATTTAGTTCATGTGAAGTCATAGTTATTTATTTGTGCAGATCAATGATTTATATTAATCAATTGAAATTTAAATTAGTTATATAATAAAAGTTAATAGTTATTATATTTAAATTATTTATATAAAATACACATTTTATTACATAGTTTCGCTGCATATATAGTTCAATCATGATGCAAATTTTATTCATAACAGGTGCATATTTAATTTGGTTCATAAACAATGTATACTTAATTGATATTATTGGTGCATATTTAGTTCATAAGGAATACATATGCATAGTGCATAGTGCTGAATGCATTTTTTTTTTTTTTTTTGGTACAAAGAGAGGTGGTTGCTCACGAGCGATTAGAGGCAAACGTTCCGTGGATAAGAGACACCTCTTATGTCGTGCTCGAGCCATGGAACGACACCAGAAGGAGGGGTAGAAGCGATGACACCCGAGGGAGGCCGAAGCCGCATAAGCTGCTAAGTAGTCTGCAGCAAAGTTCACCTCACGAAAGATGTCAAAAATCTTCACCTGCCAGTCTCGACTGAAAAGCTCTCGTATCCCTATTACCAAACCAGAATTGACCCCCTTCTATAACCTCAATATTATTAGCAAATCCCACGACGTTGAAATTGTCTACTTCAGCCTCTACCCGACGATACCTCAAGCTCCATGCTAAGTCAAGACACTAGAATAATCCCCATAACTCTGCTCCAGTTATAGAGCATTCTCCAATGTTCATCAAGAAGCCACCGAGCCATGTGCCATGGGAGTCACGAAGCGACCCTCCCGAAAAGGTCGTACCTGAGGATCTATTCTGGGCTCCGTCCGAATTTAACTTTATCGATGAATTCTGGCAGTTCCCCTTAGACAAGATGCTGGACACGAGCAGTCCCTATACTGCCAATCTTCTTTACCCCTTCGGCAAAGTGCAATACACCGTTGAAGAAAGATCTGATGTCATTCACTTTTCCTAAAGCATCTATCCCTCGGCTTTGAGTGCATATTTACTTAATACATAATGCATACTAAGGTAAATGAGTCAACGCCAAGTCAACAGGCCTCGCCGGAAGTCAACGGTCAACGCAAGGGTAAACGGTCAATAGTCAAGTAGTCAAAATAATATTAAAATAATTAAAATATAAAAAATAAAAAATTATTATTTAAATAAAGAGTTAAATATTGACCACATATCTTGATACCTTGTTAGGATTAAGTCTCACGTACTCATTTTAACCATGAGTCCTAATTAAAATCAATACATATACATAGATTCTATCTTATAGATAAGATAGATCTATCCATTATTCATTTTCTTTTGTGTTCAAAAGTAGCAAAGGACCGGACCACAGATTAAAAAAACAATTTATTCACCCCCTTATAATTTGAGGGGGGTGGCAACTCGTCATCCTGCCGTGTTCCAGTTTTCCTTGTTCTTATATATTTTAGTATATACATTTTGATTGGATATGAAGTGCAGCTTTTTAATTAGTTCCAAGTAGAATTACTATATATGTGACCTTAATTAGGAGGGGCCTAGAACCATGTGCAACTGCTCTCTTAATTGTTTTGTGCTGTCTTTGTATCACTGACAGAGAAATAGATAGAGGGGAAAAGTGTAAAAAAAAAAAAAAAAAAAGGGAAAAAAAGGGAAAAAAAAAATGGGTTGGGAAAATAGCAAGCCCACAATAGTGATGGTGGCATGTCAATTCATGTACGCCGGAGTTAATCTAAGTTCACGAGCTGTGCTTTTGGAAGGGATGAGTTCAAGGGTCTTTGTTGTCTATAGGCAATGCTTTGCTTTCTTGCTTATAGTTCCTGTTGCTTATTTCTCAAGGTACATCCTCTATATATTTTTAAATTTCATTTTTTTTATATACGGAAAATTTCATTAGCTCTCCCTGTTGTAGGAGAGGAACAAAAGAATGTTTTCCAGGATGGAAGACCTTCTGGTTTATTTTCTTCTTGTCTTTTGTGGGGTACGTAATCAAATACTTATAATTTTCTTATATATCATGATATATCGCGACTATCCAATGTGGAAACGAAAAGAAGGGATAACTACAAAGTTGGCCGGTCTAAGATTGTTGGATATGTATGAACCGGGTTGGGTTGAATAATTAATCAATTATATATTATGAAGATCAGTTAGTTGGCCAATATTGGAAAAATGGTTATATAATTCTGCCTCTTTTGCTGAATTAAATGGAAAATAAGGAGTTTACTATATTTAGGGTGTGATTGAATATGGGTTTGATAAAAATAAAAATAGTCAATTCTAATTCAGTTATTTGTTTAACTCAACTTTAATTCAATTCAATTATTTTTGATATTATTAATATAATTAAATAATATAAATCAATCATTCTTACAAATTACATCAATTTTATTTAATTCACTATTCATCAATTTTATTTAATTCACTATTCATCTACTCACATAGTTTTAACTAACCATCACTTCACATCATTTCTCTTATTTTTACATCAAATCAACTTTAATTATTTTATTTTAGTATAAACTTAAAATCTAACTCACAAGTCACAACTAACAATTCCACTTTTTATATAGTTACCTAAAAAATCAATCAAAATCTATTAAATCACACCATTAGAGAAACCCAACAAACTTAAAAGGACATTTATAGACTTTCTTTCACCTTTGATTGTGTGTCCAGCCCAACTGCAAGCTGGTCCATGTAAATATGTAAACACTTTAATTTTGATACTAACTTATAATTTACCTGGCAGTGTGACGTTAAATCAGAACTTATATTTCGAGGGTTTGTACCTCGCCTCATCATCAGCTGCCAGCGCATTGGGCAATTTGGTCCCAGCCATCACTTTTGTCATGGCTTACTTATTGGGGTAATTAATTAAATTAGTTTAGATTCTTACTTTTTCCGAAAAATTAGCATATTTTATCTTCATTAACCTCACATTTTT